AAAAAACGTTTCCAACATACTGACCCTTTGGGCCAAGAAGAGATGTGGAAAATGGCTTTTCTCTTAGTGCGATTTCTTGTAAAATGATGCCATAACTGTACACGTCTCCAAGGGGTGTATTGCCAGTGTTTGTGCGTAGACACTCCGGTGCAGTCCAAAAAAGAGCTGTGTACAACAAATGATTTTCAAGATTTGCGTAAACAAGTTTGATTTTCTTCCCAAATACGACAAGACAAATCAACGTAACACGCTTTAAATCAGCTGATAAGAACAATTGTAGTAAGCAGGTGTGCTGAGCTCGTGGAAAAGTGTAAACGTTGCCATACCATTGAACGATTCTCAAGTGATTGTCGAAAAGAATCCGATTCCAAATTTTTTTTTTATTAGTTTGAATTGCTGCGCTCAGTTTTCGTTCTAGAAATCTGGAGCTATATACTTGGTGTCTATGACTAATGAGATACAAAGCTGACAGCAATCATATCGTGACTCGATCACGTGCGTTCTCCCGCCGTGGAGTGAGTCACGTGTGTTTGCACTGAGTTGAATGGCTTCGTCGGATAGTCACAGTCCTACTTTCTCTGATTGATTCTTGTAATTTTTTTTAAGGGGGCGGGGGAGGGGGCAATTTTCGGGTTTTACGACTCTCAATCAAAAAAGCGCTTCAAGTAAAACAAAACAATTTTTTGTTGAACGTGTTATCCTTAAAGGTGCAAATCAATTCTACTTTTTTCTTCCTACAGCCATACATTTATTAATCTGTGCTTATTATAATTATTATTACCAGTTTGTGTTAGTAAGGTCTCCTCTGAGTGTAACCTGTTTTCACGAAAGGTTTGTAGACCGTAGTCGGCCACCTTACAAATCCAATAGCTGTCAACCAATACGTTGGTGGACTTTAAGTTGCTATGACAACCGATCGACGTCTTGTGCAATTCTTCCATTCCCTGACAATTGTAGAAAACGACGTCAATACTGATTTTTTTCGAACAAAAAGTATTTATGGGGCCTGATACAGACAGGCAGTCTTATTCTATACTCTTAAGAGCCTTTACATAATAACGCCTTAACTTTAATTAAGATTTGGGTCCACGCTTGTGGTCTGGCTCTGGTCACGAGACTGATACATACCTCGGGTCGCGCATACGACAAGACAACCACTGGATGGATCCGTATTTACTATGAGTGGTACTCCCAAAATGTTCAATATTGAAATATTCTTGGCCCGCTTAAAACCTGAGTAAAAATCTCGGACCCTATTTCCAAACCAGATCCACATAGTAGTGAGCGAATTGACAGGGAAGCAGCTGCCACTATTTCTTTTCCTAGCAGTAGGGATGAACGATTGTCACATATCAATGTCATATGATATTACAGTCCAACTCGTCATTCGTCCCCTCATAGTGACCCTCAAGCTATGAACCGGTTAACGAACAACTTCAGTAGGCAAT